GCCAGGGGCTGCAGCTGCCTTCCAGCTGCATAAGCCAAGGCACTCACTTCTTCACCATGTTGTATGGCTGAAACAGAAACCCAATACACAAAACCCAACACACTAAGAACAAAAGTAAGAAACAACATGGAGGGGAGTACCTGCCACCTACTACAAACAGGTGACTTCCCTTAACATAGAAAGAGCACCTGTCAATCAAGAGTATTTACAGAGCACTTACAAAGCGACAGGCACAGTTCCAAGAACTTAACACGCTCAAGCTGCCATCACAACCACGACGGTTTTTGAAAGGTAAGAAAATCGAGGAGCCAGGAGGCTACCTGGCCAATATCACACAGATAAATACCGGAGCTAGGACAGAGAGAGGCAGAATGGTTCGGGGCCATGGTGCCAAGCATGGTACCCTTCAGCCTCGGCACAAGAGGGACCAAGAGCTTGCCAGAAACATGTGCTGAACCAGGGACACTGGTCTGCACCTGAAGTCCCTGCTACCCGGGAAGCCGAAGTGGGAGGATCCCTTGAGCTCAGGTGTGCGAGGCTGCAGTGAGCCATGATTGTGCCACTGCACTCCAGCCTGGGCAAGAGAGACCCGGTCTCTTTATTAAGGTCAGGCGAGGTGGCTCACACCTGTAATCCCAGCACTTTGGGAGGCCAAGGCGGGTGGATCACGAGGTCAAGAGATCGAGACCAACCTGGCCAACGTGGTGAAACCCTGTCTCTACTAAAAATACAAAAATTAGCCGGGCGTGGTAGCGCACACCTGTAGCCCCAGCTACTGAGGAGGTTGAGGCAGGAGAATCACTTGAACCTGGGAGGCGGAGGTTGCAGTGAGCCCAGATTGTACCACTGTACTCCAGCCTGGTGACACAGCGAGACTCTGTCTTAAAGAAAAATTTTAAAATATATATATATATATATATATGTATGTATATATATGGAAATATAGGCTGGGCGCAGTGGCTCAAGCCTATAATCCCAGCACTTTGGGAGGCCGAGGCGGGTGGATCACGAGGTCAAGAGATCGAGACCATCCTGGTCAACATGGTGAAACCCTGTCTCTACTAAAAATACAAAAAATTAGCTGGGCACGGTGGCGCGTGCCTGTAATCCCAGCAACTCGGGAGGCTGAGGCAGGAGAATTGCCTGAACCCAGGAGGCGGAAGTTGCGGTGAGCCGAGATCGCGCCATTGCACTCCAGCCTAGGTGACAAAAGCAAAACTCTGGCCGGGCATGGTGGCTCAGTCCTGTAATCCCAGCAGTTTGGGAAGCAGAGGCAGGTGGATCACAAGGTCAGGAGTTCAAGACCAGTCAGACCAACACGGTGAAATCCCATCTCTACTAAAAGTAAAAAAATTAGCCGGGCATGGTGGTGGACGCCTCTAATCCCAGCTAATCAGGAGGCTGAGGCAGGAGAACTGCTTTAACCCAGGAGGTGGAGGTTGCAGTGAGCCGAGAACGCGCCATTGCACTCCAGCCTGGGCGACAGAGTCAGACCTCATCTCAAAAAAACAAAAAAGTGAAACTCTTACCTCAAAAAAAAAAAAAAAATACACTGTACAAAGAACAGATGGTTTTTTTACATGGAGTCTTGCTTGGTCACCAGGCTGGAGTGCAATGGCACAGTCTCAGCCCACTGCAACCTCCGACTCCCTGGTTCAAGTGATTCTCCTGTCTCAGCCCCCTGAGTACCTGGGATTACAGGTACGTGCCACCATGCTCAGTTTATTTTTGTATTTTTAGTAGAGACAGGCTTTCATCATGTTGGCCAGGATGGTCCCGTTCTCCTGACCTTGTGATCCACCTGCCTTGGCCTCCCAAAGTGCTGGGATTACAGGCGCAAGCCACCCACACAGCAACAGGCGGTATTTCTAACATTCCGTTGCTCAAATAGTGAAGTTCATTTATCATCAATGAAAAGCAAAACCATAGGAGACGTCATTTTCCACGTCTCACGTGGGCCTCGATGGTGCTGGAGGCCGGCTGAGATCGCTGGCACTGCCTCTCTGGAGGTCAGTATGGCAATAGCTACTCAAAGCAGGCACCCCTCCTGCCCAAGGATTCTACTTCTAGGGATCCATCACAGCCACACAGACACACCAGCTTCCTAAACAACCTCATGTCCCACCTACAGGGCCGTGGTGAACGCAGTTAGGGGATCTTGGGCAACAGGCAGCCCGTGGCTGAAAATCACCCCGCAGCCCTGATCAGCACGGCGGCCAGCACCCCCACCATGGCTCCCACAACCAGAGAATGCTCTATCTTACAACCCTTCGCAGAGGAAGAAATAGGGCCAGAAAGCCAGGAAGCCATCCGTGCACGTGGCAGCCAGCACTGGGCCCTCATCAGTGGCAGCCTGGCCCCGAACCACTGTGCTTAATGGAGAAGGATAAACTTCGAGGTTTTGTTTTGAGACAGGGTCACACTCTGCTGCCCAACTGGAGTGCAGTGGCACAATCATGGCTCCCGGCAGCCTCAAACTCCTGGGCTCAATCAATCCTCCCACAACCTTCTGAGCAGCTGAAACATGCCATCACACCTGGTTAATTTCTCCTTTTTTTAGAGAGGGCAGGTCTTGCTACGTCGCCCAGGCTGGTCTGTCTTGGCCTCCCAAAGTGCTGGGGTCACACGTGCGATCCACTGCACTTGGCCGAGGGGTAAACTCTGATCTGGACTGAGCCAGCACAGAACATTCCCCAAGCTGTACTCTTAGCGAAAAGGTACTGCTCAGTCGCCCAGGCTGGATGGAGAGCAAGCTATACTCAAGGGACAAAATTCACAGCACAAAGAGTGGTACTGGTGGGGCAGATACGGGTGGACACATCGCCTTGTAAGGATGGTTGTCCCGTGGCCCAGAAACAGCTAAGGCAGGTGCCTGAGCGTGGAGGACAGCGGGACTCCATCCGGACCCCATCGGGCAGGGCTAGGCTGTCACCTTCACCACACTCCCTCCTGTGATGTCTGTGGATTTTCTTTTATCAGCCAAATTGTTCATTACACATTTTTAAAAGCCAATTCTTGGCTGGGCACGGTGGCTCAGGCCTGTAATCCTAGCACTTTGGGAGGCCGAGGCAGGTGGATCACAAGGTAAGGAGTTCAAGACCAGACTGGCCAATATGGTGAAACCCCGTGTCTACTAAAAAAATACAAAAATTAGGCCAAACGCGGTGGCTCATGCCTATAATCCCAGCAGTTTGGGAGGCTGAGGCGGGTGGATCACAAGGTCAAGAGATTGAGACCATCCTGGTCAACATGGTGAAAGCCCATCTCTACTAAAAATACAAAAAAAATTAGCTGGGCATGGTGGTGCGCGCCTGTAGTCCCAGCTATTCGGGAGGCTGAGGCAGGAGAATTGCTTGAACCCAGAAGGCGGAGGTTGCGGTGAGCCGAGATCACGCCATTGCACTCCAGTCTGGGTAACAACGCGAAACTCCGTCTCAAAAAAAAAAAATTAGCTGGGTGTGGTGGCTCGTGCTTATAATCCCAGCTACTTGGGAGGCTGAGGTAGGAGAACTGCTTGAACTGGGACCCGGGAGACAGAGGTTGCAGTGAGCTGAGACTGCACCACTTCACTCCTGCCTGGGCTATAGATACAGAGCGAGACTCCAACTCAAAACAAAAAAAGCCAATTCTTTTCTTCTGGGTTTGGGTCTGCCTCAAACATAGCCTTATGGCCACAGGACAGCAATCCCGTGCCTGTGGGGCAAGGGCAGGCACTGGAGCTGGAGCCAGGAGCACCTGCAGCCGGTATCTCTAAGGGCTTCCAGAGTAGAGGAAGCCGCAATGCTGCCAGCACTGGAGGAAGTGGCAGATGCCCACAACCAGGGGTGCGCGGCCGATGGGAGGAACAGGCTCTGGGTCTGTGGGGGTCATGCGGACAGTGATGGGGCCCGGCCTGGAGACGCCCAGGACTGGACCTGGGGAGCCTGGGGGTGGGGAGCAGCAGGCAATGTAGTCCCGAGGTTGGGGGTAGCCTCTCGGAGTCGCTGCCTGGCCAGGGACAGCTGTCCACTCCTTGCTGGCTCCCAGAGCCATGACGCACGACCAGCCTGTGGCTCAGGCAGGAGGCTTCCAAACTTGGGGAGGACGAAGAGAGGAGGAAAGGAGGGAGGAAAGCAGGGACAAAAGGGGTGGGAAGAGGGCAGAAAAGGAGTAGGAGGGGCGGCCCAGCTCCAGCACATGGTGTGCCTGCGTTTCCAGGTACTCCCCGTCATGATGACCTGGGCCCTCCCCACTCAGCACCTTGTGTGGGTCCCCAAGGCCACAGCAAAGCCCTGCCGGGTGGAGGGAGCAACCACAACACGGCTGGCCGGCCAGCCCTTCCCTCAGCAGGGGCTGGGCCCTGGGCTCGGTAAACAGGTCGCAGAGCCATTAGTCAGCACTTTGGTGGGTGGGAGGTTCCCAGTCCCGCGTCCTGGCTCCCACAGCCCCGGCCGGGCCAGCCCTGGGTTCCGGGGCATAGAGGCAGCACCAAAGCCAGCTGGTCCCACTGCCTGCATCCTGGGGCCAGCTGGGCCTGAGGTCACCTCCTGGCCAGCCAGCGGCAGCCCACTGCACCCAGGCCGGGCCTGACTGCCAGCGAGCAGGAGTCTCCGTCGGCCCCTCCCCCGCCCTGTCTGACGCAGAGAGAGGCTGGCCAATGCCAGCCACAGAAGCAATGTCAACAAACACACGGCCCAGACAGGTGGGCCAGGCCAGCAGTGCTGCCCAGGCCTGCCAGGGACTCCGGCAGGCCGCAAGGGCTGGCACCCCCCGCCCCGTGCGGGGGAGGAGATGCCCGGTCCTCAGTCCGCCCTGTGGCCCAGACACCCCCTCCCCAGTCACACAGCTGGAGAAGCCACTCCAACAGCCGGCCCAGCCCAGTCCTGGAACCAGCGTGGGGTCTCCAGGGGTCCCGCAGACCTTAGCCTGGACAGGTTCAACACCAGTGCCGACCAGGGTACCTAGCACCTGGGGCCAGTCCCCCAGCCCCGTCCCAGCAGACAGCAGCCCAGGGACCTTACCTGGAAGTCGTACAGGGCCACGATGTTTTCATGTTTCAGTTCCTAGGGCAGAAACCCAAGTTTCTTATCAGCGTGGGGAGGGGGGACTCGCCCCTGCCCCTGCCCCTGCCCCTGCCCCTCCCCCAGCACCAGCTCACCTTCAGGATCTTGATTTCCTTCCCCAGCAGCGTCTGAGACTTGGCGAGGTTCTTCTTGTTAATGCATTTGACGGCGACCTCCAGATCGTGCTTCTGAAAGCCAAACGTGCCCCTTCAGCCAAGGCTGCCCCTCAAGGCTTCCCCCAGACCCCAGTCCACGCAGGTGGGGCCCTGAGGTGATCTCGGTTGGGGGTCACGGGACTGGAAGGCCGAGGGAGGAGCAAGGTTGAGCATCGGGCTGGGGGGTCCTGGGGTAGGGATCCAGCCTGGAAAGCCGGGCTGGGGGATCGGGTGCGGGGTGGGGATTTGCACAGGAAAGCCGGGCTGGGAGTCTCTGGGTGGGGTCCTGAGTTGGGAGTCGGCCTGTAAAGCCTAGCAGCGGATCTCGGGGCGGGGGTACGGACTGGAAATTCGGGCTGAGGGTCCGGGGTGGGGATCCTAGAGTGGGGGTCGGCCTGGAAGGTCGAGCGGGGGTCCCAGGGCAGGCGGGGAATCGCGGGACTGGGGTCCCGGGGCAGGAGATCCTGGGCGGGGGCTCTTCCGGGCCGGACGGGGGCCTCACCTCGCGGTGGCGGCCCTTGAAGACCACCGCGAAGGCGCCGTGGCCGATCAGGTCCTTGCGGGAGAACTCGAACTTGCCCACGATCTCGGTGCCGCCGCGGCCGGGCTCCATGGCGCGGGCGGGCCGGTGGCGCGGGGCGGGGGGCGGCGGGCCGGGGCGCGAGGGGCTCAGGCGGAGGCGCGGGCCGGCGCGGGCGGGCCGGGGGCGCGGGGCCGGAGGCGCGGGGCCGGGCGAAGGCGCATCTCCGGGGCCGCGCGCCCCATCGGGCAGGCCGGGGCCGGGTCCCAGCCCCGCGGGCCAGGCGGGGTCCGAGGGTCGCTCTCCCTGTGGCGTCTGTGCCGCGGCACTGTCCCCGGGCTGCTAATCCGAATCTGGATCCGACTCCGACTCCGACTCTGGCTCCAACAGAGGCCCGGGCTCGGCCCCGGCGGAGAAACAAAAGAGCCGCGGCGCCCGGGCCTCGGAGCCTGAGACGCCCGCGCAGCCGCACTGCGCGCCGCGCCGGGGGCGGGATGAGGGCGGGGCCTGTGGGGCGGGGCCTGGGGCGGGGCCTGGAGGGCGGCTGGGCCTGGCCATTGCGGGGCCGGCGTGGGCGGGGAGTGGGTGGAGCCAACAGCGGACCCGCTCCGGTGACAGCAGAGAGGCGCGCAGATCCCGGCGCGGGTCCCCGGGCGCCGCGATGCTCCCCCGCCTCGCTTCTCCTCCGTTCCCCTCCCATTCCTTCCCTCCCTGCTCCCCTCCAGCCCCCTCCCTGCTCCCCTCCCTCCCTCCCCCTCCTGCCCCCCCACCCGTTCCCCCCCCACCCCGCTCCCGTTCCCCTTCTACAGGAGAATTGAGACCAGGCGTGGGAAATGTACTCAAAACGGGCGACTGCGTAGAATTAATACTTAGAATGGCGACGTTAGAGGTTACGCACTTCAAGTTGCGTTCCATAATGCCAAATTGTAAAACAAAACCAAAAACTTGTCACCAAAACCTACGACATAGCCCATAAATCGGCTGGGGAGGAAAGGTTAGCTTGATCGCCGGGCCTCGGTCCTAGGAGGCAGTGCACAGAGATAAATATGCCTGTGCTCAAGGGCGAGTTCTCCAAAGATTATAATTAAGTGAAAGCAAAATGTGGAACAGGGCACTGTACTGTCTGTAGTTTTCAGAAAGCCGTTGGAGTGGTGTGTGTGTGTTTGTGAGATGCCTGTATGTGTACATAGTCATTCCTACCTACAGCAATAGCCAAGTAGTGTGCTTTCCGGCTATTAGTGCTTTCATTCAGTGATTCCACGAGGCACTTGCTATTCTATCCCTATTTTACAGATGAGGAAATCGAGGCCCTGAAAAGTTAGAGATGTGTCCCAAGTCACACCACCAGCGACCAAAAGAGCCCAGGGGCTCACTCACAGAAGGCACGGTGTTTTTGAATAGAAACACACATACCTGGCTTCACTGAGTAGGAACTAAATTAAAATTTAAAGAAAAAGAGGGCGGGCATGGTGGCTCACATCTATAATCCTATCACTTTGGGAAGCTGAGGCGGGTGGATCACCTGAGGTCAGGAGTTCGAGACTATCCTGGCCAACCCTGGACAGGCAAAACCCTGTCTCTATTAAAAATAGAAAAATTGGCTGGGTGTGGTAGCTCACGCCTGTAATCCCAGCACTTTGGGAGGCTGAGGTGGGTGGATCACCTGAGGTCAGGAGTTCGAGACCAGCCTGACCAATATGGTGAAACCCCGTCTCTGTTAAAAATAAAATAAATAAATAAATTATTAAAATTAGCCTGGTGTGGGGCCGGTGCCTGTAATCTCAGCTACTCGGGAGGCTAAGGCAGGAGAATTGCTTGAACCCAGGAGGCAGAGGTTGCAGTGAACCAAGATTGTGCCACTTCACTCCAGCCTGGGTGACAAAGCAAAAGTCCATCTCAAATAAATAATAAAAAAATAAATGAATAATAAATTACAAAGATACACACGCACAGAACAAGGTTCTATATGGATGGGTTGATGAGAATGTGATGGGGGTCGGCTCGGGGGGTGCGGTTGGAAGCTGGAACCTGAGCCTGTATTTCCCTAGGAGCAGGGATAACTCAGCGTTCCTGGAAGCTTCGTAAGTTCGTAGCACACCTGCCACAACTGATGAGAATCAGCTGCCCTTGCTGTGCACCAACCCACACTCTTGTAGGAAACAACTCTTTTAGACAGAGTCTCCCTCTTCTCGCCTGGGCTGGAGTGCAGTGGCGAAATCTCGGCTCACCATAACCTCCCCCTTCTGGGTTCAATCCATTCTCCTGCCTCAGCCTCCCGAGTAGCTGGGATTACAGGCGTCTGCCACCAGGCCTAGCTAACTTTTATACTTTTAGTAGAGATAGGGTTTTATTATGTTGGCCAGGCTGGTCTCAAACTGCTGACCTCAGGCGATCCGCTGGCCTTGGCCTCCCCAAGTGCTGGGATTCAGGCGTGAGCCACCGCGCCCAGCCTGGAAACAAGTGTTAGACCCACATCAATCCTAGGAGAACTGTTCCTCTCCTCACTCTCATTTAACAGAAGAAACTAAGGGCCAGAGAGGTGAAGGGACTTGCCCAAGTTCACACAGCCGAGAAGTGGCAGCTCTGAGTTTAAGCCAGGTCGTCTGTGAAGCTGGAAGCACTCACTCCTGGTCCTCCTTGAGGCTCCAGCCCCCCAAGGCAAGGACTGAGTCTTACCCATCTTTGGGCCCCCAGCACTCAGCCTCAGGCCCAGCAGGCTGTATGGAAACTCTTTATTTTTTTTTAGAGACGGGGGTTTCATCATGTTGGTCAGGCTGGTCTTGAACTCCCGACCTCAGGTGATCCACCCGCCTTGGCCTCCAAAGTGCTTGGATTACAGGCGTGAGCCACCGTCAGGCCCAGAAACTCTTTAAAAGGAAGTTGAACAAGAAAAGAAATCTTTGCTTTCCTCCCCACACTTCCTTCAGGGGAAGTGCCTCCGACCCATCCAGACAGGGCCTCTGTACTGCTCACCTTCCACAAAAGCAGTGGTAAACAGGTGTCATTGCAAAGTCCCCCGTGGCTGTGACAGAACCTCACGCTAAGAACTCCGGGCTCTGAGATCTGAGTGCTGTCCCTCCTGGGTGCTGGCAAGCTGCTGGAGGGCAGCGACCCCGATCTCAGCCCATCGCAACCTCCGGCCTCCCAGGTTCAAGCAGCTCCCCTGCCTCAGCCTCCTGAGTAGCTGGGATTACAGGTGCCCCCCACCATGCCTGGCTATTTTTTTGTATTTTTAGTAGAGACAGGGTTTCACCATGTTGGCCAGGTTGGTCTTGAACTCTTGACCTCAGGTGATCTGCCTGCCTTGGCCTCCCAAAGTGCCGGGATTATAGGCCTGAGGCCCATGTTTTTAACCACCTTGACTGTAGTGATATAATTGTCTTTCTTTTCTTTCTTTTATTCTAATAGGAAGTCTCACTATGTGACTTCCAGAACAGGCTGATCTCAAGCTCCTGGGCTCAAGCCATCCTCCTGCCTTGGCCTCCGCAGGTGCTGGGCTTACAGGCGTAAACCACTGCACCCAGGTGGCATAATTTTCCAAAGGTGAAACCTAAGGCTCATACACATTTCCAAAGAACGTAGGCCGGAGGTATACTGAACTCATTAGCAAGGGGACCCCAGGATGTAAAGATAGTTCCTGGGGGAATTTAAGACAGCAGCTATTTACAGAGATCTGAAAAAAAGAATGTTAGAAGATTGGGAGGTCAGATACAAAACCGGTCATTGTCATCCAGGGCGTGACTTTAACCTTTGATTATCTTTTCTATCTGAGAGAAATCATTTTTCCTGGGTGTGCGATAAAACTATCAATAGTCAACAGATTGAGCTGGGCCTGGTGACTCTTGCCTGTAATCCCAGCAACTCTGGAGGCTGAGGCAGGAGGATCCCTTGAGGCCAGAGGATAGCCTGAAGCCAAGAAACAAACCTCAGCAGAAAGTCAAATGTGGTTTCTCAGCCCTGCATCAGGAAAACTGGCCCGAGTGTCCTACTTCCTGACTTTTAAGTTATGGTGAAATACATATAACTTAATAGTAGTAATCATCTTTTTTTTTTTTAATTAAACAATTTTGGTCAGATCTGTGTTTGAAGTAGTAATCATCTTAACCTTTTTTTTTTAGACGGAGCCTCGCTCTGTCACCCAGGCTGGAGTGCAGTGGTGCAATCTCAGCTCACTGCAACCTTCGCCTCCCGGGTTCAAGCAATTCTCCTGCCTCAGTCTCCCATGTAGCTGGGATTATAGGCACTCACGCCCTGCTAATTTTTGTACTTTTTTTTTTTTTTTTGAGACGAAGTTTCCCTCGTTACCCAGGCTGGAGTGCAATGGCGCGATCTCGGCTCACTGCAACCTCCGCCTCCTGGGTTCAGGCAATTGTCCCGCCTCAACCTCCTGGGTAGCTGGGATTACAGGCACGCGCCACCATGCCCAGCTAATATTTTTATATTTTTAGTAGAGATGGGGTTTCCCCATGTTGACCAGGTTGGTCTCAATCTCTTGACCTTGTGATCCACCCGCCTCGGCCTCCCAAAGTGCTGGCATTACAGGCCTGAGCCACTGCGCCCGGCCTATTTTTTGCGTTTTTAATAGAGGGGGTTTCTCCATGTTGGTCAGGCTGTGGTGGCTCACTCCTGTAATCCCAGCACTTTGGGAGGCCGAGGCAGGAGAATCCCTTGAGCCCAAGAGTTGGAGACCAGTCTGGGCAACATGGTGAAACCCCGACTCCAGACAAAAGAAAAAGACAAAAAAGCACATTGTTGTATAACTGTCACCACCATCCAGTTCCGGAACTTGGTCAACTTCCAAAAGTGAAACCCGGTCCCTGGAAAAGACTCACTCCTCGTTCCTTCAGCCCTGGCACCCACCCTTCTACTTTCTTGTTTGTTTGTTTGTTTTTATTTTTTGAGACAGTCTTGCTCTGTCACCAGGGGCCAGGCTGGAGTGCAGTGGCGCAATCTCAGCTCACTGCAACCTCCGCCTCCTGGGTTCAAGCAATTCTCCTGTCTCAGCCTCCCGAGTTGCTGGGATTACAGGCGTGTGCCACCACGCCTGGCTAATTTTGGTTTTTTTAGTAGAGACGGGGTTTCCCCATGTTGGCCAGGCTGATGTCAAATTCCTGAGCTCAGGTGATCCCCTGCCTCAACCTCCCAAAGTGCTGGGATTACAGGCCTGAGCCGTGGAGCCCGGCCCACCCTTCTACTTTCCGTCTCTGCAGGTTTCACTCCTCTGGAAACCGCATAGAAATGGAACCCTAAAGTATTTGTGCTTTTCTGCCCTCCAGATTCATCCATGTTACAGTGTTGGGGCTCAGCAACTGATACCCCAAAATAGGGCGCCTTACCTTACCAGGCTGCACTGAAGAAAAACCCTCAAGGCCGCTCCAACCTCCCCCCACTTCTCCCAAAGTCAAAGCTTCTTTATCTGCCTAAGATCCAGCCCCACCAAGGAGAACAATTGTTTCCTCCTGCCCCTCCCTGGAAGACTA